TACTCACATAGTCTCTACAGAGCATTCAAAATCATATCAAAAGTGGTCTATTTTCAAAAATAAACACATATTTATACATCTCGTTCAACAAGGAATAAATCAGAACAATCAGAAAGAAAAACAGAAAACATTAATATTTTGTCTGTTTCTCATAGGGTTCCCACAGAAACCCACAGAGCACTCTAATTCATATCAAAACCTGTTTATTTTCAAGATTAGACACATATTTACACTCAACAAATATCAAGAAACACAACAGAAAACTCAGAAGGTAAAACAGAAATCATTTAAAATTTGCCTCTTACAATTATCAATACATTCCCTTAGGGTTTCCCATAGGAACCCATAGAAATCTCAATTCATACAATTGGGAAAAACCTCTCATACATAAGCATACAAAAAGTATAGCAAACATATCATTTGGGGCCAATCCCACTACCCAGCATACAATCCCACACCCAGAGCAAGGTTTCTCACTCCCCCCTTACCTCGATAAGCAGGAGCCGAATCTTGTTGGTCGCCCTCTCTAGGTTCACCTTCGTCTTCAGAGAGGAAGGAGGAAAAATATTAGAAAATGAAAAAATGAGTTTTAGAGAGTGAAAAACGCTTTATTTATAGGCATCAGGCCGCGGCCAGAATGGCCTGTTCCGAAATCAGAACGTCCCGTTCTAGGCACACAGAACAGGTACAAAAACCTCTCGCAGAACGGCCCGTTCCAAAACCAGAACGGCCCGTTCTGGGGTTTCCGGAACGGCCCGTTTCAAGGTAGAACGGCCCGTTCTGAGTCAATACCATATTCTTAAAAACGACATCCGGAACGGCCCGTTCCCAAAGTGGAACGCCCCGTTCCCAAAGTGGAACGGCCCGTTCCGGGGCTATGAAAATCCATAACTAGTAATTAATAAATAAATAAATAAATTATATACATATATATATATCAAATGAAAATAAAATATCAATATAATTTAAATATGATTTTCTTCAAATAATAATTATAACAAAATATTATAATTAATAATATTATACAAAATAATTTTCATAAATGATTATTATTAAAAACCTTTAAAGATTCAATCAAACCCATTTAATTAATCAAAATAATTATAAGGAAATAATCTTCATAAATACAAAAATAAATAATAATTATTCGTAGTATTAGTAGAAAAATTTGGGGTGTTACAAAGATCCTTCTCAAATTAAAGACAAAGCACCCCACCACAAACTCCTCAATCAAAGAAAAGACAGGATCCCAAGCCACGATCCTCCTTGAACATCCTTCTTGCTCGACATCTCAAGGGCACAATTCATCAAACACAAAGAACTCCACCAACAAACTCCTCAATCAAAGAAAAGACAGGATCCCAAGCCATGATCTTCCTTGAACAAAGCATTCTTCTTGCCCGACATCTCAAGGGCACAATTCATCAAACACAAAGCACTCCACCAATAATCTCTTCAGCTGAAGAAAAGATAGAATCACAAGCCACAATCCTTTAGAAAACCCCTTTGTCGACCAAAGTAGGGGCATTTCGGACAAAACACATGTAAGCAATCAGGTTCAAGCATTGACCCCTGGGCCTGGAAAGGCTACAAAGAATACTCACCACATATTCTCGCAAGAAAGATGACCCATCACCCGTCAGCACAGGGGCATTACCTACAAGCGATCCTCATCTTCATCAAACATCCTCGCCAAATAAAATAGGCAATTAGATCATAGAAATCACAGCAGGCGACCAGGAGAGGCTGACACAATAATACTTATCATCAAAAGTAGGCAACTTGGAGTGGCCAACACAAGAACACTCACAGTAGGCGACTTGGAGAGACTAGCATGAGAACACTCATAGTGGGGAGAGGCCGACACAAGAACACTCATAGTAGGCAGCTTAGAGAAGTCGGCATAAGAACACTCACATTAAGCGGCCTGGAGAGGTCGACACAATAATACTTACCATCTCAATAGATGGCCTAGAGAGGTCAGCACCATAATACTCACCATCATAGTAGTCGGCCTAGAGAGGCCGACACAATAATACTGACCATCTTAGTAGATGGCCTGGAGAGGCCGACACAATAATACTCACCATCTTAGTAGGCAACCTAGAGTGGTCAGCACAATAATACTCACCATTAGCGGGCGGCCTAGAGAGGTCGGCATAATAATACTTGTCATCTCAAGCAGGCAACCTGGAGAGGCCAGCATAATAACACTTAATCACCATAAGTAGACAACCTAGAGAGGCTGACATAATAATACTCATCATCATCAACACTCACTTCGATTTGAAAACACCGTCGAGTTCCTTAAATCAGCGGCATCGAGGACATCGCCGAGTTCCTCAAGTTAAGACCAAGATCACCATCGAGTATCCACCCAAAGGTTCTTACGTCCACCTTCACAAAGGACGTTGACATCTATGCATATTGATTTGAGGACATCACCAAATTCCTCAAATTAGAGGACTACACCAGAATTATTTCCGAGTTCCCCACTATAGGTCAATTCAAGTCTCAATATTAGTTCAACTTGGAGAGTGTTTAGATGTTGGAGATTGTTAAGATGATGAAGATGATGGAACATCTTGAAGACTCCTCAAGAGTGTTTTAGTTTTGATGATGTTAATATATAGATGTTGCTTAAAGTTATACAAAAGGATATTGTATTAATTGTAATAGATATAGGCTTGTGTGTGTTTTTGTTTATGATTGATGATGATGAATGCTAAATTCAAGACCTAATCAAGGTAACTCCCAGACTTAAGACTTTTAATTATTCCATCTTTCATGTTGCATGGGTAACTCTCACACTACTTTGTAATCTTTCGTATTCGAGTACATCTTAACCATTTCTGTAATTGAACATTCCTTTCATTCCTCAATTTTCTTCAACGTTTCGATCACACAAGCTGTCGAGTACATCCAACGTCCATTCTGCCACATTCTTGACCTAATAGATGGCCCATGAAAAATGTTTATTTTGATGTTTACGAGAAAAATGTTTTTCATACGTATTTCAATTCACATTTTCGATGAAACCCTGAAACATGTTCTTTTTGTGTGCATTAGATGCCTTTGACACAGAATTAATTTCAAATCCTTAACTTTGTCCCCTTGCTATTGATTTGACAGCGTTGATTGCACTTCCCCAAGACGTGCAATTATACCTTTTCAATTTTTTATCTGTTAGCAAATATTTTTTAGCTACTAATATTTTGAATTCTATTTTAAACTTCACCGCGGGCTTTACCATGCTCAGGCCCATCTTGTTTTTCTATATAGTTACTTTGCTCACTTGCATTTTTCCCATTTTACCACTTCACAAATTATCTTATCTTTTCATCTTCAACTTCTACCAGCTTTCCATCTATTTCCATAGTGACTTCTACTACATCTAAGCCTACGACTACTCCTGTACTCACAACAAATCTTCCTTTAGTCCAATCCGCTCCCACTATACATTTACTGATGGAGAATGTTATTATCTCTACTTTAAATGATGGGAGCAACTCTTTTGTTCCAATCCCTGGCGTGGAAGAAGCTAGTCTCAAGATCTTTCATTGTAGGTACTTTTACCTTTCTCCATAGCTGATGGGTCAACGCATGCTTTCCTAGGTCCTTTTTCAAGTCAAAATAGGAAAAAATACTGTAATGACCTGCTTCTAGAAGATGATTCCACCCTACCTTATGTTTACTTATATAGCATAGACCTTTTCTATTTTTTGACACCACTAAGATATTCTGAGCTTTTCCCCTGCTAAGGATAGGCACATCCAGTGGCTTGAACGCGTTGAGAGTTCAATGCGATCTGCATGGCAAGAGGCCGGTATCTTTGATTTCATTCAATTGGCAAAATATGACATGAATGTTTTTGATCCTTAGATGTTACTTTTTGCTATTTTATTCTGGAATAGGCAAACTTATGCTTTTGAGTTTCCCTGTGGCTTTGTGTGTCCAACCCTTCTAGATATTGTTGTCATCACTAGGTTAAAGCCTATAGGAGACTGATATCACCCTAAGGCACTCGAAAAAGAAATTTTAATGAAAGATACTTTAATAGACTGGGACAAGAAAACATATTTTGCATTTATTAGTGCACATCATGACGTAGAAGATGCTCCTATTACTAACTTTGAACATATTGCCTTTTTGCTGTATTGGTTATCTACTTGTGTTTTCTGTACCCCCTATCTTCAAGTTCCCAAATACTACTATGTACTTGGCCAGGCCTTGCATCCTAGGAAGAAGGTTTGTTTGAGTAAATTGCTTCTTGCTTCCTTTTATGCTTGTCTCGATGAAGCTTCGAAAAGTCTACTTTGAGAGAATGGCCCTTGAAACCTCTCAAGGCCTCTTTAATTGTTGCAATTATGGCTTAATTCCATTTTTGAGAAAAAATTAAAACTTATCCCCCTTCAGGCTTCTATTCGATATTCACTCAAAGGGGAAAGATTAATGGCATTGACTCCTAAAAAGAGATCTATTCACAGTTTTGCTTGTTATATCCAAACCATTCTCGAGTTCCACAAATTCACAAGCGACTTGGCCCCACTCATTCGTTATGATTTAATAGGTCCTTCTTAGTTGATTGGTAATAATTAAGTAGGGTATATTTCTCAATAAATGATCAAAATTTGGTTAGGGTTTTTGTCCTAGGACCTCATTTTTTCTGGTATGAAGCAAAAGGATGTAAGAGTTTATCATTATCAACCACAAATTTTTGCTCGACAGTTTGTACTTTGTCAAATGAAATCCCTACCTCTGCATCGAAAGGATAGAATCAGCTCAAATATCTACATTGAAAAGGGTGATTATGAGGGTTTACTAGAGTTTATTTTAAAGCCTAACATTCAATTATCACTTACTCTTTCTTCTTTCTCTCCTTCCTTTCTCATGTCTAAATGTTACTCTCGATGGTGGTGTAGATACTTTATCGATAAGATATTCACTTTTGAAGATTTCTCTAAGAAACTCACTAATTCTTTTTTTTCTATGTAGGGCCGAAAGATTTCAGGTACCTATAAAAATCTTAACATTATTTATCAGTTTGAACAATATTTTAGAGTTTGTTATCAACCCAACAATATGTTTCGAACCATTTTCGATGCCTCTTTATGACAAACTATTTTTGAAAAATTCTTTCCTAAAAATATACCCCCTCTTCCTAATACCCTTTTTGGACTTGTGAAATGTCTTAATCATCCTCCTTGGGTGAAGACTCTTGATCCTTTGTATGAGGAGAATAAGAGCATCCTCATTAAGAATCAAGTTACAAGTGCGAGATGTTATGTGTACAATTTTCTCAGGGATAAATTTTGGCCTTTGTGTTGGGTCGACAATACTATTTTTTTACCCTGGTAATTATATTTTCACATCTATTTTCTTCGTGATCTTCTCGAATCTTGTATTTTAGTCATTCTTGACTTCTTTGTGTTTAGTTATTGTTGCCCAAAGAGTCCCTCAACACCCGGATGATACTCAACATTAGGAAAGTGGTTTAGAAGGTGATGAAGAAGATGCTTCATTGAAGCTCTAGAAGAGAAAAAGTATATCTAAAAAAATTTATCTTCGCTCGAAGGTAAGATCGTCAAATGTGAATTCTCGTATTTTTTAATTGGTACGAACTCTCATATTTTCTTCTCCTAGGAGGTCGACATTTCAAAGGAAAAGCCCTATGTGGAACTCCATAGTGGTCAATCTGTAAGTTACCTTCTCTTTATGTTGGTCGAAATATTTACCTAAAGTTTTGATTCGAGGTGTTCTATTCTTATGTTTCCACTACTAGGAAAATCAATAAAGAGAAAGGGAAACAAAAAACCTTATCTATTAAGTTCGTATCGAAGTTGATTATTTCAACTGACAAATTGATGAAGGATGCCATGAAACCTTCTGCACAGGTGATGCATCCATCACCATATCTCTTTTCCCCATTTTTCTCTTAGATTAGTTTCCTCATATATCTCCACTTTATTTTTAAAATAAAAATGTTGACCCTAGAAGTATCTGAGTCTTCCTCTGGAAGCCCTAAAAAATTCTTTCAATTGAGAATCGACCCTCAAAGGTAACGTCTATTCAGCTAATATGCAATCAGGCTACTTCTTTAACTCGAAAGTATCTCATCAAATCTTCCAATTACAATTTTTTTCTCTTCTACTTTTTTTAAGAATATTACTATCATTGCTATTGTCCTCTCGAGACGTCATGAAAAACATTGAGGCTCAAACTCCCCTCAAGCGCCCCTTTGAAGTAGGCTTCGTTTAGATTTTGATTACTTCCACCTTCGAAGTTATATATACTAATGAAACGCTTTCCTTACAGATTGTTGCGTCCAACCTTATTGTTGATGTTGCTCATCCAACCACTACGGAGGGTGTCAATGTTACTTTGTTACCCCTAGAATCTTTTCAAGGTAATGCTACTTCATTTAACTTCGATACAGGGGTGTCTTCTAGCCAAGGTAGGTATTATTTCTTTGTTTCTTTGTCATTCTTATATTTCTTCTTGAAGTAAAACATGACTTCGTGAATTTTTACAGACCTCGAAGTGACTTCTGGAGATAAGCCTCACCAGTCTATCCCCATTGTCCATTCTCCAACAATGAAAGATAATGTCGAGTCTTCCGAGATGCCACCAACTTCGATTCCCCCTGACGATCTAGACCTTATAATTTTTTTTAATGACAAAAATGCTCAAGATTATATCGTCGAGGTTTTGGAAAACTAGACTAGTGGAATGTCGATCTCAGGAAAGACCCAGGATATGGTTGTGAGCTTCCAACCTCTCTTAGCTTCATTCTGCTCAAAGACGTATGTGGGGAATTTAGATCAAGCTCTTTTGGATCCTCGTCTCAAAATCAAAATCGAGTAGATGGTTGATGATTTAAATGCTCTCCCTGATCTACCTTTGGAGGTAACAACGAAATTGAATGAGTATGTTCAAACTTTTACTATTGCCTCCGAATTGCGTGCAAAATGGGCTACTTCTCATCAAGAGATGGCTCAAATCAAAGTTGATATTGAAGGAGATCGTGCCAAGTTGGAGAGACTTAAATCATAGCTAATTTTGATCAATGAGTCCATTGCGCACTTAGTTCCAAAATTAATGAAGCTTAACCAGGATGAGTTGGATACAGAGAAAACAAGCAAAGCTCTACAATTAGAACTCGACTCAATAAAAGCTAAACATGCCACTTTGAATGTCCAAAGTCAAGAGGTTATGTCGAAACAAAAAGGTCTGATAGAAGAAGGGAAAGACATATCACTTAAACTCTCGAAGTCCCTGGAGCAAAAAAGAAGATTGGAAGCGTTATGTGCTTCAAGGAAACGAAGTCTCGATCAAACATATCAAGCATATGAAGCACTTAAATCGAAATTTTGTAAATAATCTATTGATTTTCTTAAACATCTTTGCCAAGTATGTACTTGATTAATGGATTTTAATATATGTTACTTTCATGAAATTTTTTTCAAGTATTTCCCATTAATAATCTTGCTTGTGTACCTTGAGTTTATTTCTTTAATAAGGAATGCATTGTTTGAATAGATTTGTTCAATAATAAATGGGCTTTCCCAATTATAAGAGCACTTCCCTAAGTTTCGTGAGTTTTGATCTATTCGTAGAATCACTTTTAGTACCAGATCTCCAACCGAAAATTGTTTATTCTTAACCTTTGTGTTATAAAGTCGTGAGAACCTTTCTTTCTGTTGTATGACATTTTGCATTGCCACCATTCGCTCCTCATCCAACTAGATTAACTCATCATACATTAGGTTCCAATGATCTTCGACTAGTAGGTCACTTTGCTTTTGCATATGAATGGATTGTAAATTAATGTCTATAAGTAAAATTGCCTCATGACCATAGACTAATTTGTATGGCGTGGTTTTCATTGCGCTCCTGGGTGAATTTCTGTAAGCCCATAATACTTGTAATAAGGTTTCATGCCATTTTCGAGGCTTTATAGAGATATGTTTTTTAATCCGATTTATTATAACCTTATTGGCAACCTCCACTTGACCATTAGCTTGAGAATAATAAGGTTTTGAAGTGACTAGCTTAGTTCCTCTCGATTCAGAATATTATGAAACTCTTTGACCAGTAAATATCGTACCTTGGTCCGTAATTATTGTTTAGGGTATCCTAAATTGAAAAATGATATAGTTTTTGACAAAATCTATCTCCTCCTTCTGGTCCACATCTTTAAAAGGAATTGCTTCTACCCATTTTGTAAAATAGTCTATAGCTATAATAATGTAGTTATGGTCCTTTGTTGATGGAGGATGGATTTTGCCAATTAAATCAATTACCCAGCCTCGAAATGGCCAGAGCTTAACAATTGAATGCAATTCACTTGTTGGTACTCTTTGTATCGGGCCATGTTTTTTACATTCTTCACACCTTTTGGAAAATTCAATGCAATCCTTAAATATGCTTGGCCAATAATATCATTTCTTTGACAAAGTCCATTTCATTTTTTCTCTTGCTTGATGAGCTCCACAAATTCTGTCGTGTACTTCTGCCATCATGGTCTCCAAGACACTTGAACAGAATTCATCGAACCCTCTTTTGTACAGTTCACCATTTAAAACTACATAGTTGATGGCCTAGTACTTAATCTTTCTTTTGGTTTTTGAATTTGGGTTTTGAAGATAGTTTATTAATTCTCCCCTTCAATCTTGTATATTCGATGTGCCAATAGTGAAATAGTTATCATAAACAGTTAACTCATTTTCCACATTGACCAAGAATTCAAGATCTTCTTTATTTACCATATACCTAGAAGTAGTTTGGGCCAATTCTTTTGCTATTTGGTTCATGTATTGAGGGACATGTTCTAATTGAACTTCGTCAAACGAACTAAGTATTGCCATAACTCGTGAATAGTATTTAAACAACTTTTCGTTTATGCGCTTGTATTCTCGATTTAATTGTTTCATTACCAATTATGAATCTCCTCGAATTATTACGTTTCTAGCTTCCAAGTCCTTAAGTAATTCTAAACCAACGATCAATGCCTCATACTCTGTCTCATTGTTCGAACACTTAGAATCTGTTCGTAACAAGATTTTTGTAGGAATTCCGTTAGGATAAATAATTAACAAACCAACTCCGACTCCTAATTCATGTTTTGATCAATCAAGAAACATTTCCCAGAACTTAGTGGTTAGGTAATTTACTAGTTTTGATATGTTCAAGTGATCCGTAAGAAGATTGACAATTACTTGACCTTTCGTTGCTTTGAGAGGAAAAAATGCTAATGAATATTCGATCAGTGCAAGTGCCTATTTACCAATTCGAGAATGAAGAACTGGTTTAGACAACATATACTTAATAACATTACTTCAACAAAATGTTAATACATCAAAAGGTCTGAGATAATACTTCAACTTTGTACAAGCATAATATAAACTTAAACATAATTTCTTTAAATGAGTGTATCTGATCTCTGCTTCGACCAACATTCTACTAAGGTAATAGATGGCTCTTTCGATGCCATTATCATCTTCTTGTGCTAGGATGCTCGCAATAGTTGAATCATTAGTTGAAACATACAATTTTAACATCTTTCCTCTAGAGGGTGGTACCATCATTAGAAGGTTGGCTAAGTAAGATTTGATCTCCTCGAGTGCTCTCTGATGTTCTTCATTCCATCGGAATTCTTCTTCCTTCCTTAAGCACAATAAAGAAAAGAACACCTTAGTTTTCCCTAACAAATTTGAGATAAATCTTCTAAGAAAATTGATCTTACCTAACAAAGACTGAAGCTTTTTTTTGTTTGATGCTGGCCTAGTTTCCATGATTGCCTTAGTTTTATTTTTGTCCACCTCGATACCCTTCTAATATACAATGAATCTTAGAAATTCACCTGCTGAAACACGAAAAGCACATTTTAGAGGATTCATTTCCAATCCGTTTCCTCATTCTCTCAAAAGACATTTTTAGATGATGTAAGTGATCAATTTTAAGTTTTGATCCAATAACTATGTCATCAATATATACTTGCATGAATTTACCGATTAAATTGTGAAAAATTAAGTTCATTGCTCTTTGATATGTTGCTCCTGCATTTTTTAGACTGAAAGGCATTGCCATCCATTCATAAGTTCCTAAAGAACTTGGACATCTAAAAGCAATTTTTGACACATCGTTTTTAGCAATGTAAATTAGGTTGTACCCAGAATATCCATATAGTAAACTTAGAATTTCATTACCTATAGTGGAGTCAATCATCATTTCAGCATTAGGCATAAGATATTCATCCTTAGGTGTAGCTGCATTTAGATCTTGAAAATCAATGCACACCCTCATCTTTCCATTTTTCTTGGTGACATGCACAATATTGGATATCCAATAAGCATACCTCAAAGTGCGAATGAACTTAACTTTCAATAGCCTTTCAAAACTTTTACTACTGCCTCCGAATTACATGCAAAATGGGTTACTTCTCATCAAGAGATGGCTCAAATCTGGGCCCCCCACTAAACTTCGATCTAGGACGAGCATTTCTTCATAATCCCAAGCAAAGCAATCTTTATACTCATGCAAAACTTGCAGAATTTCCTTTATAAGACTTCCCCTTAATAGCTTGCTAACATAGGTAATCGTCAATTTTTCGATTATACCTAAATTAATTTTTTCTAAAGGGTCCTGAGATTCTAATTTGAAATCATCATCCATTGTTTTATCGAACCCCAAAGGAGAATCATCATAAACACAATCGAGCTTTTCTTTATCCATTTCAAACACCCCATTTTTCTTGCTCTCGATTTCGACAGATTTTATATCGAGATTTTCTTGTTCTAGCATCTCGAGTGTCATACTTTTCCCTTTATTCTTCTAATCCTGCTCTTCTTTTTTTTTTCCTTTTCTTTCGATCGACGTGGCTAAACTTGCCTCCTTATCTTTGTTTTTCTCGATCCTTTCGACTACTTTGGATCTTTCTCGACTGCATTCTGAAGTTTGGTGCAAAACACACAGAAAGGGGGTTGAATGTGTGTGTGAACGAAGGATTTTAAAACATTTTCGCAAAGGGGCTACTTTCTGTCAGAGAGAGAATAAAATGCTTTCAACCCTAGTTTTACAAAAATGTGTTTAGAGTGTGTATGTAACTCTCATAGAGAGAATAAAATGCTTTCAACACTCACTAAGATAAACTATCTTAGTTTTACACAGATATTCAACTTTTTCTCAAGAAGAGAGGGGAGATTGTTTTTTATGCTTGTTTTTGTTTATTGCTCGTTGCTTCTCTCTCTTTTTTCTTTTCTTCTCAGGTCTTGCTCTTTATAGCCTTGTGATGGAACTGCCCGTTGTTTGAATTTGAATATGTGCGTTGAGGTGGGGCTTTTCGTTGGTGCAAATAAACGTTCGTTTATGGTTACTCATATCTTGTTCATTTAATGCGTTTGATTTTGCATTAAATGTTTTGCTTGCTCAATCTGTATTTCGTGTGAAGTCCTTTGCATAAATTGTTCCCTTTTGTTTCTAACTTCAATCATGACATAAGTATGTTTGTCCTTTTTCCGTCATTGTAGCTGTGGAGGAGTTGCCTTTTTCTGAAAAGCAGTTGTACTTGTCCTGACACACACAGCTTTGACTTATGGGTTCGCGCTCTTGCTTTTTTCTTCTTTCTATTCATATCTTTGATAACTTCGTGCGCTTTTCTTATAAATGGAGATGATGTATGATCTTCCTCGTTGTGACTAATGGACTCTAGACGCTTTTCATCATGCTTCTTTTGTGTTTGAAAAATTAAGTCTCCGTCTAAGGGTTAGACTTTGACTTTTTAATCTCGTTTGATCAGTGTTGAGGGTGAATAACTTTTATTCTGTCTATAATGTTTCTTCGTCTTGTGTTATCCAATGACTAATGGTTGTTTTGTTGACTTAAATGTATATGGTTGATCCTTGAACTTCGTCTGATGTTTATTTGGTGTTTGAGCCAACTTTGTCTTGTTCTTGCTTTGCTCTTGTTTCTAATTTCATATATTGCGCTCTAGATTGTTCTTTGGCGTATCTTCGTTTGGCATTCATTATCGTCTGATACGCAAGCCATGATCCTTCTATTATTTAGCTTGTTTTGTTGGATCCTTGTTTTTCTCAACCCTGCTTCATGCTTTAGTTTTGCATGTTCTTATACATATCTAAAACACTACTACACAAATTAGTAATAACAATATGTATTATATTTGTCATATTCAAAAACTTGCTCAAAATTGCTTCGTCTGACTTAACAATCTCCCCTTTTCTGATGATGACAAATATAATCTATCAAATCATTTCAGATATAATATAGTTTCAAGCAGTTTATGCAATTCATACATTAGTTTGACTTAGTTTATGCAATTCTCCCCCTTAGTATGTGCTCTCCCCCTTACTAGATTATTCTGATTTCTCCCTTAGATAGGTTTTGATAGATTCATTCCTACTTCTCCCCCTTTGTAATCATTAAAGGAA